CCCCAAAACCCCAAAACCCCAAAACCCCTGGCTGTAAATAATAATTTGAAAATGGAAACACTCTGATTGTGGATCCTGTGCCTGTACTGCCTTGTGGCGGCCGTGCAAGCGACACAGAACGGATTTGGGCTGGAAGCCTACGGGAGGGACGCAGGGGAGGAGCACTACTCGTTCCATAAGCAAGGTGAGTGGCTGGGTCATGTGTAGACTTGTACTTGGAGGCTGAGGACTTGGCTACAGCAGCTGGATACGAGGTCGATGGGGTCAGGCAAGCATTCGTGCAGACGAGTGACAGTGAGGCAGTGTATTTGGTCAGAAGGAGCAAAGTGTCTCGGAGTGAGTTCAAGCTGGTGAGGTAAGTAATTGGAGAGAATTCCGATTGTGTTCTGATGATGTTTCGGAGTTTAGAGAGAAGCCCGTACATGCTGGGCTATCAATTATACTAAGTTCTTTGCATTTGTGGCAAGTTAAGTATCATCAATATGCTGGATTGGCTCTTGGAGATAGTATTTTGAGTATTGATCAATGAACTACAAGTGTCTTAACGACTATTGTGTTTAGGATCAGACATGATGAAGATGAATTCGCATACGGTACAGGTTGGTGATCATAAGTTTAGAAACATATCCATCAGAGCAGGAAGAGTTTTTGGAGTTCAGTGGAACTGAGGTGATTGGGTTTGTGATGGACAAATATCCGATCATTGATGGAATCATTGTAGATCATTTGGATAAGGTAAGCAAATCAAAGCTAATACAATTATAGTCTGAAAGAGTTATCGAATATCATACAATTGATCCAAAGACAAATCAACCTATTAGAAGTTATTTAGTTGATAAGATATCAAATCATCAATTTAAGGATTATAAATCAGCAATAGTAAGAACAGATTTTAATTTTAAAAGGAGCACAACCCCACAACAATTCAACTCGAAGTTCAAAAAGATTCCACTGGATTGGGGCATAGTTTGTTCATCCAAACCCTCTCCAAGATAGATAGCTATATGACTTGTGTAAATCTGCTCAAATACAAGTAAAAGCTTATCTCATCTATAGTACAAAATCTAAATCTCTATTATTAAAATATAGAGCGAATGAGGTAGCTTCAGTCAAATATTTTAGAGTGTTGTCGACTTAAATGGGATCATTAGAGTTACTCCCCAGTTAGTAAGCACTTAAAAGTTTAATTCCTTGCTCAGGTCATTCAGATTTTGCAGTTCAGTCCTTCCAAACAGTTAAAATCTAGCAATTCAGAATTTTTGTCAAGATATTTCTGAGTGACAACCAGAGACACTGAACAGTTCATTCTCCAGTGGATCATATGTTCTGAAACTAATGGCAAAACTTTGGTACAGGTTACAGTGGCTGCAAACAGCATCTACATACTGTTAAGGGATCAGTTGCAGTCTGAAGTAGTAGTCTTGGAGCTGAAAACAGGCATTAGAAAGCACACAAAAACGTTTGAACACCAAAAATTCAGAGATCTTAAAGGTATTTGTCAGTTGACCAAAATCAAGAATGATATAAAGCAATTACTCAAATTGATACTTTGATTTGGGCTTCAAATTTAGATGAAGACAGCTTTTCAGATAACAATTTAAATCAATTATTTAAGTTTGCCATTTGTATCAAAGTCACAAATATTCAAAAGTGGTTCTGATGCTTTGTCCAAATTCTCATTTTACAACGACATTAACTATGTATTTAGTGGGAAGTCACATGGACCTCATTGTAATTTCTGAAACCCTCAGAGATTCTTCAGAGCAGCATCTATCCACATTTTCAGTTTCAAGAATGGATTTCCAACTCAACAAACTTGACGAAGTTACATCACCAATCCAAGAAGTAGAGCAGCACCTGGATGGACCTTCTCCGCAAAGAGTGATCAGCCTAGCAGGAAATCTTGTGTTCTTAAGTGAAAGAGCCAACACCCATCACCAAGGCGGAGGTGTCTATGCAACCTGGACTCGGTCTTCATTGTTCGTGGTTGGCAACTCAACTGAGCAATGACAAAGTATCAGAGATCACTGTGAAGTTTGATACTCCAACAGCTGTAGCATATGCCAACAAGGATACAGCAATATCAATGGAGAATGCCACAAACAATGTGGAGACCATTACTTACAACACAAAGTCCCAAGTGATAACAAAAGTAAATACTCTGTGTGTTTGCCTTGCCATGCTTCATGCAAGACCTGATCTGACCAAACAGAGTTCGGATGTTTGAGCTGTGATTCTGACAAAGTATTCGATGCTGTCAAACACACTTGAAAGTGATATCTACCTGACAAACAGTTCATGCAGCCAAATGGAACTTGCACCCAGAATTGTGGAGACATCTTACCAGCAAGATACAATGGAGTGTGTGTTGCTTCGTGTCCTGCAAACTCAGATGACTATTTACAAAGAATTTCCAATAAAAGAATGCCAAAGTCTCAACAGAAGAACTGAGGCTTGTATCAAGAACACTACAAAGTGGAAGCAAACAGAACCAGAAACATCGTCATCCCATTCAGCTTCTACTACGAGAACGAGTTCAGTTTGTCGTTGTGGGCGAGGGTGGCCCTCCCCTCTTCAGACTCGTTTGCATTCGCAACCTATGGTAATGTCAGAGTCTAAGTTTAGGAAACCTCCAACTGACTGGAGTGTTGGATAAGCCAAGTGGCCAAATCAGTTTGCTCCTTCAAGTTCTCAATATCGAAACACTCTCTGTGATCAGAAACTACACAATTGAGAATGCATTTGCACTGGACGAATGGGCTTATATTGGGGTTTCAGTTTATAGGACTCACAGAATTGGAAACACTTTTGAAGTGAACCTTGTGACTGTTAAGAAGAATGAAGATTCAAGAAGTATCAACTTCCCATCACAAGAGTTTGAACTAAGGTACTCTCTTGACAATCTTTTAGTTTTATTTACAACTAATAGTTCAAATTTGTACCTCCTTAAGTAGGATAAGTTGTATTATATAGAAGTAATAAAGCCCTTCATCAGAAGCTAAATTATTGAATAACAAGACAGATCTCATATCATCATTGACTCTTCCTAGAATTAAAAGAGAGTTCAACACTATTTTGTTCAGTGACTAAAATGTCTACTTCTAGTTTCTCTGGATATCACTAAATAGTTTAGAATAATTTTTAAAGCAGCTTATTCTAGCAACTAACTCAGTCTTTTCTCTAATCACTAACCATCTGGTGATATTCCATTTGATGCTTTTCATTGTCAGTTTACTTGTTCATAGTCTTCTTCCTTAGAATTTGGTACCATAGTTGAACTAAATTTGGGAGGCAATATCAGTCTTTGTGTTGTCTGATTTAGAGACCATAAAATTAGTAGAAAATTGGAGATTTTTATAGCTCAGTTATTTAAGTTGCCTCTCTTTTTAAGTTGGAAGTATTTTTATTATCGTATCTGGTTAACTCAGACAGAATATTATTTACTTTAACTTTTTTACTCTGCTTTAGTATTTTCCACAGAGCCCTTTAAATGAAAAAGATTGATACGAATACTAAATTTTTCTAAAATATTTATATTCCATTCATACATTCGAACATTTATAGTATCATATACAGCCTCATGTCATCATCACAAAATTTAATTAACTCTTATCAATGATATTCATCACAAAACATTTAATAGAAGTTCAAAAATGCCTTCGCTGCCTTACTTTCTTGGAGGAGGAAACCATCTCCAAACTTTCAAGTTCACAGGTATTAACTCCAATCACCTTCAGGACTTCTCAACAAAGTTATGGTCATGAAAGGCCCAACATCCTCCAGCGAACTCATCGACAATGCATTCAGGTTTCCAGTTAAACGCCCGAAGTTCTATGACCCTCACTTGTCCCTTCTGATTGTGATCCACTCCCGAATGTAGGTCTTTGGCAGCCACCATTGTAGGAGTCCCCAAGAACTCAGGGAGATCAGAGACATTGTGTTTCCGGAGACTGGGCTCCAGAACAAACATCTGGAGATTCAGACTGAAGAGCTTACTGGCGAACCTCTGCATTTCTGTGAGTTCTATACAGTCGAGGTAATTGGAAATTACAACAATGTAGAGAGAATGCAGACACATGGACTCAAGCGCTTCTCCCAAAGTGTTCCCCACCTTTCACTCTCTGACTGAGAATTTAAATTTGAAGTACCAAGGAACAGAAGACATGGAAAAGGGAGATATACTGGTAAGTCCTCGTTGACTGCATTCTTTCATAAAGGCAGAGATAACAGATTATAGGCTGTTTCAGGGCTTCATACGGAATATGGATGCGAAATCGAAAACAGCAAGCAATTTTTTAACTTTAGGGATCAATAATAAATCTTGACTTAGATTGGCTCCCTTGCCTTGTTTGAATTACGCAAAGATTGTCAAAGTCTTTTTATTTGAAGACAAGAGTTCCAAACATTATTTAAGTAAGATATTGGATTCAAGTTTAGATAAAAGACAAGAAATTTCGATAAAATTTAGAGGGGTTTCACAAGAAAGTAACATGGTAATTGCCCCAAATATCTTTTAGAAGGGTCCATTCTCTGTCAGATACTTCAAAAATTCCACAAAGGAAATATTTGATCTTGGTAAATATCTTCTTTGATTTTTAGGGATTTTCTCTGTTTTAATGGGAAATAGTCAGTCTAAGTAAGATTTTAGCTTGAACTGTCGATGTAATTCTGTAGATCCAGTGATGGCCCATATTCTGAATATTTTCTCTCTGCATCAATCTACCCAGACAGAGGACAAAATATATTAGGAGAGTCAAGGAATGTTTCATTTGTAGTCACTATGCCCAAGTAAGAGAAACAATCTCACTCGTGAATAATTTAGTTTAAGGTTTTTAAACTTTTGCATTAAAATTTGTAAACATTTGAGTGTTTTATGATAAGCTTAGCCAACCGAACTGTAGGTATGACGACCAAACAACGCTTTTGAGCATTTTCTCTCATGACCATGATCAGGACAAATTCCCATACAAAGAATTGATCTCATTCTCACTTGACTGAGAGAACGTTCTCCCTGACGATATCAAGATTGAGAAGCAGACTAGTGGAAGCTTTAGTGATTTAGATACTGGCTTGTTCACTGAAGCAGGGCAATACATGATTTGATGGAAAAGTCCACAACTCGAGTCAGAGTTATACATCCCAATTAGTGATGCAAACTGGATTGTCAGAGAGGAACCAATAATATATTATTCGAACAAAGATTACAGGTTCAATTATGGGTTCTTTTATTATATCTTAACTAGGCTTCCCTTACATGGAGATCAGTTCCGTTTATTTAAGGGTTCGGAAAATTGTAAGAATTCCCCTGTGCAAAGCGAAAACAATAATTGGGGAAGTCGTATTTATTTTTGGCTTCCTGATACAAAGTAACCTCGTCTTAATATATAGTCAACCACTTCACATTTGATGGAGAGAGAAGATTGACCAAAAATATCAAAACTGGAAAAGGATCAAAGATAAGAACGGAAACCTATTAGAGATAAGAGTGCAGGAAAGAACAGACAAAAGAAGACTCTTACCCATGATACAGGACATGAGTCATAGTATTGGATCTATCTTCCACGAAGATGAAGAAATATGGATCCAAATCGGTCTTTCCTCAACTGTTATCGATAGAGAATCAAAGTTAAAGTAGTTCTATGTGAATAAATATAGGTCTTTGAAAGTTCACAAAAATGTAAAGAGTTTTTCAAATGAAGACAAGAGCATCTGTAAGCTTATTTCTAAGGCACAGACTCTTTGGAATGCAACAGACCCAGAGAGGTAATCGGCAGATGCTTCCTGAAAGGCTATGAACAAGATATTTTAAATACTTACATGCAGAAGATTGTAACTAATCTCTTCAAATTCTAGGAATTTACATTAGACAGTTCAACAATCTCATATACAGGTATTGAGGAGATAACAGTCATAGATGGAGACAAGGAGTATTTCTTATTCGGAGATGAAGGTTCATATCATGCTGAATTTTTTCAATATCATTACTCCGTGAGAAAGGTACTTTATTAGTCACATTTCTAGTTCAATACAACTGCTAATGAGTATATCCCTGAACAGTAGAGTTTTATGGTAACACATAGCGGTCTTTATATGAAAATGTTGCATGGATGTAAACCTCACTGTAATGTGGTCCTTAGATTTCATTCTCCATCCTCTGGGTGTAACCCAATCGGTTCAACAAGAAATATTAATTGGAGAGATAACACTATTTTCATACCAAATTTTGATAAAACAGGATGTAAGGCTGGCGATAAGATCTATGCAAATGCAAGTGTTGAACATATGTAAGCAAGCTAAAATCCTACATTAGCATGTCTTATTTAAGAGCATGGAAATAACATATTCTTCTATAGATTTGTAAGGAAAATTCAAGAGCTGAAAGCATACAGATTTCTTGCGTATTCTTTCATACTATTCCAGTGTTGAAATACAGATATAGTTTGTCAGTCATCCGGTAGATGAATATAAGAACATCTATGTTGGTGAAGTAGGATGTGCTCCTCAGTGAGAAATATGTGACTTATACAACTCTACAAAATGTATTGTATGCGCATTTCCATCTGATAACAAGTAATACAGCTAGATTATATGTAGAAGCTTACAGTTGGGAGGAACGATAGAGAGTAATTTGCCTAAAAGACCTCACTTCAGTCATGGAAGTCAAAAATGTCTTCGTATGGATAATCTGTTTCATGAGATGGTGAAGGTTGTAAGAAATTCAATTTGAGGAATTTAGATTAAATATCAAAACAGAGTATATTTGCAGAGAATTACGCTTAATAAATGCCCTCCTGAGAAATATATTTATGGGTATTAGCTTCGTCTTATTATAGGCTTTTTTGAGATGCTTGACACAAAGATTGAATTGAATGATCAGGACCCACAGCTGAAGATTGTATCATCTGAAACTATCCAAGACCTTTCCTTCAATCTGGCATTTGTGTTGAAAAGTGTGAACCTGATTTGTACTATCCTAATTTTCAAAATTTCACATGAATAGAAAGTGATTTTTATAACGAAGCAATGATCTCATCTATTCCTGAATGACAGAAAGGTTCAATCTACTCCAAATATAATCTTCAAATTAAAATCAATGTAATTGGATCGCCAACTCCTTCATTATTTGGATCAAACAACTATCTTCAGGTTTCAGTGAATAACTCAAGAGGGAGTGTAAATATGATAAAATTGACCCAAATGGCTCCTGATCCTTCTCACAAAGGAGGGTTGATGAATATATTTGTATCTCAAGGAAAACTTCAAAGCTCTTCTCTTTCTAAAATTTTAACTTTTAAGTTACACACTTCAACATTAGAGCAATTTCCTGATGAAACTTTTGTGATCAGAGCAGAAACTAGCAACACTTGAGGAGATAAAGCAGTCTCGTATTTAAACTTAAGGAATGCAGCCACTCCTACTATTGGAGACATGAAAATCAGCTGTCCCTCTTCGCCTTGCAAGGTTCAAGAGCAATTTAAAATAAAACTAACTGGCAACTGGCACGATGGAGACCCTACAATAATGAGACTTTACATTAGAATATTGTTTGAACTTCCTGATCGAAGAAAGATCTTTGGGCATATATCCGAGTATCGAAAAGAAGAATTTGAGTTCAAGCTTCCGATCTTATCATTTAAATCTGACAATAATCTTCCTGTGCATGTTTTGGTGGAAGCTACAAGTATTGTCCATGCCTCTAAAATTTTGAATAAGACCATAATTGTAAACAATACTTTTGATGGTGAAATGCGTAGTTTACTTTTCAAAGATTTATCAATTAAAAATCCAGTTTTGAGTCCTTTATTTCAGCCTGCAAGAGCAGGTACTGAATGAGTTTACGACTCTGATTGCAGCCATTCATCCAAATGAATGCCATTTGGGACTGGGTCTTTTTGCCAATGCATCCAAGGATACTCTGGGATTGACTGAACAATTCCATCTTATGAATTTGCACTTTTAAGTATGAAGCAAGGCAAGTGGTTTGCCCTAATTCTTTAGGAAGTTTAGAACAAACATTCATACAGCTTTCAAGAAGGTTAATTGAACTTGAATTTAAAGACAGAACTGCATTCGAAGATACTTTCCTGATCTGGGCTGACTACTTGATAAGACCTGAGTTAGTATCCTTCCAAATGCTAGACCTTGCCAATAAAGTGTTAGATAGTTCTTCCGACATGTCAGACAAAGTGGTGTTTTCTCTCTCAGAAAGATTTACTGTTTCTTATATTGAAGCTCTTTCAGGATTTGTGAAAGCAATCCAGTACCATTATTCCAACAGATTTTGGAAGGGCAGTGATGAGTTGAAGATTTACTTTGATGAAAATCAGAAAGAGCAGCTGTTACAGACATATGAGCAAACTATTTGTAAGTTTAACATATGACTTTAGTGGTTGTTAATGAATACTTGAGGAAAATCAGTTATAAGATTGGCAAAGGAGATCCAGTTTTAAGACTTGAGAATGATATTGCTGTCTTTATGATTCAATACATAGACATTGGCAGGATGAAAAATGGAGATAGTTCTTTAGATATTGGAAAAGATTTTAGTGTGACTATTGATGAAAGATTCTTGGAAAAGTCTGATGCTTGTGAAAATTTGGAAGAAGTTAAGATGCTTTCAATTGCTTGGAAGATATTTCCTCTTAAAAGAACATTAAGTGATGAACCAGATATGTTTCTGAAAATGATATCAATATCCTTTATAAATATGGATCTTACTCCTGTACAAAATATGTGAAATGCATATAAGATTGCTTATTTTTCAAATCCAAAACCAACCAATCCATCCTTCCTAAATTGCACTGAATCCTTCTCATCATCATTTTCTACCAGCAAGATTATACAGAAATGAAACATAATCCAACCTCCAACTCTCTCTATTGACTCAAACCCTCTTCAGACCCCTCCAAAATCCAAACCAACCCCATCCCAATCCATCTAATCAACAATCCTCATGATAACCACCAAAATACCCACCCAACCCCCCTTCAAACTCACTGGCCTCGGTCCCTTACCTCCCTACACTTTCTACCTCTCCAGCCTGCTCAACCCCATCTTCTTCCTAACCACACTGCTCATCCTGACCTACCTCTTGGGCCTCAGATCAATCTCCAAATCCCCAAACTCCCCCAATAACCCTCCAGTATCCGAAACCTCCTTATCAGAATCCCAAAATCCTGCTCAATAATCTCCACTAAAATCCAATATCTGTTCTTAACTTTGGGGTTTTGGGGTTTTGGGGTTTTGGGGTTTTGGGGTTTTGGGGTTTTGGGG